AGTCCAGGCCAGTTTGCACTCTCGGTGTGACCCCAGGAGGGAGTCCTTTGCTGGATCATCTCCCTGATGGGCTGGTGCTGACAGGCAGATGCCATTTCCCTGCCTAAAACATGCTCCAGAGTAAGACTGGCATGGCTCACCAGGGTAATTATTGGTTTGGGTTCAATTTCCATTCAAAACAGTAATCCCAGCCTGAGTTGGGTGTCAGATCTGAAGGTTGATTATTAGTAACATTTATCAACAGCCTCTCTCAGCTTCAGCAATTACAGCTCATCTGCCATTCCTGCTCCCAGTTGTGCAAAACTGCCAGCCTCTTCCCTGCCCACCTTCTCTGTTCCCCTCTCCTCTTTTTCTCCCATCTCCTCCCCTCAGCAGACAACCTGACTGAGGGCAGGAGGTGGGTGCCACCTTATGACTCACTGTCGCCCGTATGGAGGGGTCCATGTGCATGCTTGGCACCTGTGCTCCCTAGCAGCAATCTTCATGTTGCAGTCTTGTGAAATCTGAATCTGATTCTATCAGAATTGAGAAAAATCCCTAGAGGGGACACATGGGAACCCATGTCTCCCAGCTCCTTGTCACGTGATGCATTTTCAGTGGCACTGTGCTCCTTCCTGCTCCCGACTCAGTCTGTCCTCCCTCCAGGGCTGAGACTAGGGTGAAGCTACAGAGGCACTGACCTCAAGTACAACATTCAAGGGACCTTGAACAAGTTCAGTAATCAAGATAAATGATATTTCAATGCAGTATTTTTAAAAAATCAAAATGAATGCAAAACACGCACAATAAAATCAAAATTTTAATAATGACAGGATCCAACCCTGGACTTGCAGGACTCGGCCTCACTTGCCTTATCCTAACTCCAGTCTTGTTTATCATGGACAGTTTTGCTTTGATTTGATGTAAGTATTAAATCTCTTGGCTGCTGAATTTTTTGGCAAATCTGTAAATTCTGTGCTCTAGGCAAGGGCTTCATTGAGCTCACCCTGGCGCTGGCCCCACTGCTCTCGCTTCCCCGCTGGGCCCTACCTCCTGCTCCCTTCAGCTCTCACTGTCTACTGCCTCAGGCAGGGTGGCTCAGCTTCTCTCTTAGCAGGTGTCCAGGGCAGCAGGGGACCCAAAGGGCCCCTCCATGGGCTGTCCTTCCAGGGTGCTTTGCTTCCTCCCTTCCATCCCACTAGACCCTCCTTCAGCCGTCAGACACCTCAGAGAGGGCCTGCAGGTTGCCAGGGTAACTGCTGTGGTATTGGAGGACAGAATATGCTGGTCTTGCTCTGCTCCTAGAATCACGTCCAGTCAGAGCTGGATGAGTGCAGGCACGCCTGACAGCGTCCCTGACATGCTGATCTAAAACGTCGCTGGACATGCATGGAGGTGGAGGACATTCCATGTACCTGCGTTTCTCCAGGGAGAGGACAGCATGAGGCTGGAGGAAAACTGTAGTGATCTGTTTGTGACAGGGAGGTGAGACACTGAAGTAGACATGCATGCTTGCTATCCAGCCTTCCGCAGAGGGTAGGTCTCATTAGCTGAAGGGCTTCTGTTCTGCTGAGCAGGGTCACCAGTAGGGGGCACACCTGTCACCAGAGAACACTGTCTCCTCGTCCTCCCCTGTCTGTGCTCCCCTGACTGTGCTCCACTAGTCTAAAAGGTAAACAGACATTTCAGAAAGGGCAATGTCAAAGGGGTGCCTAAGATGCCATATTACAGCTGGGACTTGAGACACTGTTATGTTGAGGTCCAGGCCTAGGCCAGCTGGCCACTCAGCATCCAGATGCCTGTCACATGGGAGGCCTGAGAGTCTCAGGGAACATGTGTCAGAAGCACATCTGCCCTACCTGTTCTACTCTGTGATCTCCCTTCTGAGCCCCAGTGCAGCACAGAGCCAGCTGGTCACTCAGCCTGGCAGGAGTAAGTCATTCCACTTTCTCACAGATAGGAACACGTGATTCCTTTTCCTCCTAGGTACTCCGCCACTTCCTGGGCAAGTGAATTCCCCTCTCTGAGTCCTAGGTTTCCCTTTTGTGAAATATTAACAATAGCATCCTTCTTAGAAGGGTATGCTCACCATTAAGTGCACTAATGTGGCTGGGCACGGTGGCTCACGCCTGTAATCCCAGCACTTTGTGAGACCGAGGCAGGCGTATCACGAGGTCAGGAGATCAAGACCATCCTGGCCAACAGGGTGAAACCCTGTCTCCACTAAAATACAAAAAAGATTAGCTGGGTGTGGTGGTGTGTGCCTGTAGTCACAGCTGCTTGGGAGGCTAAGGCAGGGGAATCACTTGAACCGAGGAGGTGAGTTTGCAGTGAGCTGAGATCACGCAACTGTACTTCCAGCCTGGTGACAGAGCAAGACTCTGTCTCAAAAAAAATAAACAAATGCACTAATGCAAAGCACTGTGACAAACTGAAGAGTCATGTTCTGTGGGGCCCTGAAGGACATAACTAGGACCGAAGGGATGTGTATTTCAGTGAAGCAGCAATGGCCAGCTGCAGAGATGGAGGGACCGCTCTGGGAAGAGCAAGCACCCTGATGCTCAGTGTGTATGAAGAGGTTTCATAGTCACCATCCAGCAGCTTAGCTTCAAAAGGGCTGCCTGCCCCAGGGAGCCATGACCCTTGAGAGATGTGGTTTATCCATCCCTGAGGTTCTGTTTGACCATCTTTCCCCAGTTGTCCTCCAGGGTGTCGTGGCACAAGCCTCAGCGTGGGCCCCATGGTCCAATCTTAAGGTAAGAATGGACCTGCCTGGAGGAAGCTGGCTTCATCTACAGCTGATAAGTTCACCTTTTTTCCTGGTCCACTTTCCTTGGTTTAACCCTGTGACCAACCTGAGAGCTTTGGCAGGAAGGAGACCTGCAGAGAGGATGCTGTGCTTGAGGAAGTGCCGGCCTGAGTCTCAGAGGGGAAGTAGTGGGGCTGGAGGGAAGGAGGGAGAGACAGAATGCAATGTCATCAAGAGTTAAAGCCGGGGTCTGGTAGTAGATAAGGCTGGACACTTGGCAGGATCCTCGGGCAGACTAAAGCAGCTTAGATTCTGTCCTGAGGCAGTAGGGGGATTTCAAAGGGTTTGAGTGGGCTGGGAGGACATGGTCTTAGGAAGCTCTCTCTGGTGCCAGTTGCAGGATGGATTTGAGAGGAGAAAGTTAGATGTAGACACCCATGTTGATACCAAGATCTGGGTAACAGACAGGGAGGTCTCAGCCCAGAAGTGGCCTAGGGAAGGTGAAGTGTATAGAACTGAGAGATGCTAAGAGGATGGCATCAGAAGTGCTTCATGATTGTCCGGATTGGCGGAGGAAGGTGGACAGGGAAAAGCAGAAAGCTACAGTGGTGCCTCAAGGGGCTGTGTGATGTCACTCACAGAGACAAAATGTATAGAGTGAATGGTCAGACTCACGGGAAGTCTAATCTGCATACCCCAATGTGTGGTGCTGTGGGACACCCGGGATGTCCAGAGAGCAGGTAGGTAGAGTTTATAAGAGGACTGGGCCCACGATGCAGGCTTGGATATTCTCAAGGTAAGAGTTGTGGGAGGCAAAGCCTTGTGAGTGGATGGGATCAACCAGGTGAACTTTAGGTGAAGCAAGGGGACAAGAGGCTGAGGACACAGACAAGCAAATCCTAGAGCTTCCATCAGTCCCTAGAATGCACGATGTGTGCACCTCCCAGCATACAGCTTGAGCCCTAGCACAGGGCTGGCCACAGAGAGAGCAGCAGTGAATGTGTCCTCTGTGGTTCCTCCAGATGGGGCCTTTGTCCTCAGTGCACTTGGCTCTGCCTGGGTTGCTATAGTAACCCACAGATGCAGGGAGACTTGGCCTCTGCGTTTCCATGGAAACCAGCAATTGAGTGTCCCTGTGTGGCATGGCCATTGAGACCTTGAGGATTCAGTCTGGTCCTGAAGGGTTTGGGAGGGGGACTGCAACCAGCAGAAGAGTCCATGTCCTGATGAATCAGTGATGGTGGTTGTTAGTCTGACTGTTGCCACGGTGATGAAGGAGACACCCAAGTGGGCTTGTGCTGGTTTCAGTCCTGAGGCGAGTACAGGGAATTTCAACAGGCTCCAGGTCTTACTGTGCAGCCTGAAGTGGGACCATCCCCCAAACCCACTCCGTCCTCTCACCACGATGGGGGCCCGGATACCTTTGCCCGCTCTCTGGGTTTCTTTCTTTGCTGAGACAGGGATTTTGTTCCCAGGAGGCACTCCCTGGCCCATGGGATCTCAGCATTCAAAGCAGCACAGGAAACCTGGGCCCCTGAAACAGGGCCACCGAAGAGATCGGTAAGCTTTCAACATCCCGCCTTTAGCCCATGGGCCCCACCCCTGCCTCAGCTCCACCCTCCCAACCTCACTGACCTCACCCCTTTTCCATTCCAAGTCCTCCCCTTCCCATTGGTGCTGCTTCCCCATCCCCACGTGGGGCCACACAGGTCACCCCTCCAAACCCCTCATGCTCCAGACAGGTGATCAGGGAGGCTTCATTGCTCAGGAGCTGCCCAGGACCTCAGGGGGTTTCTCTGCCACGGGTGTAAGGGCCTCCTCCCTGGCCTGCAGGGCTCTGGCAGCTCCACACTCCTGCCCTCTGCCTCTCCTGGTGGGCTCCTCCTTCCAGCTTCTGCCTGTCCCCCCACCCCACAGTGCTTCATTCCCATGGAGCCCATGGCTCAGGGCGCTACTGCCCTCGTCTGGACTGCCTGCCTGCCTGCCTGCCTGCCTGCCTCCACCCTGATCCATCACATAACTCACCTAGGCAGCTGAGACCAGGGCCCTGAAGGAGGCCTGAGTGACCAGGTCAGGCAGTGGGCAGGGATGATGAGGTGAGGCTGCAAGGGTGTGGAGAGTCACCCCTTCTTTTCCTCTTCAGGAGAACAACCAGGAGGAAGTACTGGAAGGAAGGAAGGGAGATCGCTCGGTGAGCTGGAGGGGAGGAGGGCGCCAGCCCTGAGAAAGGGCCAACCACAGGGGACTGCGAGGGGGGTGGGAGGAGGATGTGGGTGGCTCGGGGCCACAGACCCCATATGCACCTGGGATGCGTGTGTGGAATGGGATTTCGGGGAGGGTGTGACCACTGGGCCAAGCCTGCTCTTCCTGTGTGTGACTGCTGTGGACTTGGTTTGTCCTCCTGGATTCTCCTGTGGTCTTTTTGCCCTGACTCTAGCTGGGCTTTGCTGATGAGCAGCCCCAGAGGCCTTTGCTCTGTTCACCAGCCTGTCCTGGGACTCTCAGCCAGGCCTTCTCACAAAAGAGGTGTCCTCTACATGTGGTCACACCACAGCCTAGGACCACACAGGGAATCATGGTGGCAGAGCCTCCAGCCCCCCTGCCTTCCCATTGCCCAGACACTCAGAGGTGGAGATGCCCAGCCCCAGGCTGCCTTCTACCATCACGAGGTGGGTCTTGCCTAAGGCTCCCAACCAGGACCTCATTTATCATTATTGCATGTCAGGGTCCCAAGCATATGTTTCTTGGCCCACGGGATGGTCAGAAACAACTGCCCCTTGAAGGAGGGGGTGCTGCCTGTATACAGATGAGGCAAGATGACAGGATCCTGTTCCCAGTTGCAGAATAGCTGCTGAGTGTCCCCAACACCTGGGAAGTCTGCCTGTCCTTCCATAGGACCAGGCCAGAGAAACTGGGGGCACCTGGGGCTCTGCTTTGCCTCCTCATGGATGTCAGTCCCAGGTTTCTGATGGGGTTTATGACGATGGTGCCCTAAAAGGGAAGCCCTGTGGAGAGCCAGGGGTCTCGGGTGTGGCCTTCATGGCAGGGCCCTGTTGCTCTCCTTTCCTACACACGGCCTCAAGCCAGGTTGACTTTTTAGCCTAAAGAGAATCTCATGAAGAGAGAGATGGTGGTGTGCGGGAGGGTGTATCACTTGAGCCTACTTCACAGGCTCTTGGGAAGGAGCAGGAGGAGGAGGAGGGGTACGAGTAGTGAACCCCAAAGGGATGACTCTGCTGTGATGACTCTTAGTGAGGCTTGAAACTTCAGCTCCTTTGGCGTGTGCAGCTGGTGTGTTCTGAGTGATGTAAGTTGATGACAGCCTCTTTCCTGAACCCACTGTCAAGGCTGCAAGAAGTTTTTGAGATCCCACAGCCAACGCTCGTGTAACAGGCAAAATGGGCCTCAGGTTCTGAACCAAGGTCACACGGCAAGTTGGTGGTAGACTCAGAACTAGAATGCAGGCCCCCTGCCCAGGGCTCTTTCTCCGCACTGCTGGTGTGGGAGCCAGTGTCACTGCGTGGGGTCAGGATGCTTCTCAGGAGTGAGTAGTCCTTTGGCTATGACCTTGCCTTATGTGAATGGAGGCTCTGAGCATAGTGTGGACTGTGTATCTATAGCTGACGGCTGCCTGGCAGGGACTCTTGGCCACACTGGGTTTCTGGGCTAGCGTATTTCTGGGATTTGGTACCTCTCTACTTCATGTTGAAAGGCTCTGCCAGTATCCCTTAATATCAGGTAAAACTGCACAATTCAAGATGGTGCTAACAAGCATGATATTTCCCCCACGGTGATGCAGGGCTGTAAGCGGGGAGATGAGGAGCCAGGCATCTTTGGGGTTGAGGGCTGACTTATAGGAGCCTATCTCTGTAGGTTTGGAATAGTCATAATTAGTGGGAAAGTTAATGGCCTAGCCACTTAGGGCTGTAACAAAGCAAGAGAACCTTGGCTTATTGTCTTCAACTTGAAGAATGTCATCTCCCTTTCACCCACCCATTACTTGGCATCTTGGAATTGTTCCACGTGTGAAATCTTCATGTTCGTGTACCTCCTATGAATTCTGTCTCCCGAACCTCCACTATGTCTGTTCACAGAGACCTCAGGCCCCTGAGCCCTAGTTTTTCTCCTCACTCTGAATCAACTCTTGTTCCTGTCCTATCTGAGCTCTATTGCCTGTCACTTCAGCTGCCCGCCGTTCACCATCTGGCCGCTTGGTCTCTTACCTCGACCTTAGAACATGGTACCTGCCTGCTTTCTTTAGTCCTGGTTTAAGGCGGTGGGGGGAATTCCTTTGTGAACTGACATTAGTCCAAATTCAGGGTTGACAGCCTCCAGCAATGCCCAGCGGTCCTGTGACCTGGGCCTGCTCCAGTTCCTCCACAACTATTTCAAAGCTCTCACATTACCCTCTGCAGAAAGTCATCAGAAAGGTTAAAAACCCCTAGTTATTGGGACATAATTCATACACCATACAGTTTGCCTGTTTTTAGTGAACAGTTCAAAGGTTTTAAGTTGCATGATCATCACTGCCATCTATTTTAGAACGTTTTCATTACTCTCTGCAAGGAAAACCCATGCCCATTTGCAGGCTCCCCTTTTTCCTACAACCCCAGGCTTAGGCAACCACTAATCTATTTTCTGTCTCCATAGATTCACCTATTCTGGACATTTCATGTAAATGTAATCATGAAATATTGGTCTTTTGTAGCTGACTTCTTTCCTTAGTGTAATATTTTCTAGTTTGTCTATGTCATAGCATTTATCAATACTTCATTTCTTTTTATTGCTGAATAACATTCAATTGTACGGGCTAACCACATTTTCTTTATCCATTCATCAACTGATGAACATTTAGGTGTTTGCACATTTTAGCTATTATAAATAATGTTGATATAAACTCTTGTGTCCAAATTTTTATATGAGCATATATTTTCACTCCTTGGTTATATGCCCAGGATCTATGTTCAACCTTTTGAGGAACTGTCAGACTGTTTTCCTAAGTGGTTGCTGCTTTTTACATTCCCACTAGCAGTGTATGAGGGTCTTAGTTTTTTTCACATTCTTGCCAATACATGTTATTATCTGTAAATTTAAGTGTAGTCATCCTAGTAAGTGTGAAGTAGTATCTCATTGTGGTTTTGGCTTATATTTCCCTGGTGACTAATGATGACTAACACTGTGCTTATGGACCATTTGTATATCTTCCTTGGAAAAATGTCTGTTTAGATCTCTTCCATTTTTTAAATTGGGTTGCCTTTTTATTATTGAGTTGTAAGCATTCTTTATATATTCTAGATATAAACAAGATGGTTATCAGATACTTGCTTTGCAGATATTTTGTTCTATTCTGTGGTTGTCTTTACTTTCTTTATGTAACACAAAATATTTCACATTTTTATGAAGTCTAATTTATCTAGTTTCCTTCTGTTGCTTGTGTGTTTGGTGTCATATGTAAGAAACCATAAGATTTCTTAGAAAGGTTTTTCCTATGTTTTTTTCTAACAGCTTCATAGTTTTGGCTCTTCCATTTAGGTCTTTGATTCATTTTTAGTTAATTTTGTTATTGGTGTGAGGTAGGGGTCCCAGCTCATTCAATTGAATATGGATATTAAGTTGTCCCAGCACCATTTGGTGAAAAAAACCATTTAACCTCCATTGAATGGTCTTGGTATCCTGTTGAAAATCAGTTGACCGTAAATGTAAATTTATTTCTTTTTTTTGAGTGGACTCTCAATTCCACTGCATTGACCTATATGTCTATCTTTATGCCACTACCACATTGCCTTGACCAGAGCTTTGTGGTAAGTTTTGAGATCAGGATGAGTTCTCCACCTTTGTTCTTTCTCAAGGTTGTTTGGCTATTCTGTATCCCTTAGTTTTTTCTTACAAATTTTAGGATCAGCTTGTTAATTTGCACAAACAAAGCAGCCGGTATTCTAATGGAGATTGGATTGAAGCTGTAGATCAGTTTGAATACTATTGCCATCTTAATAATATATAGTCTTGTGATCCGTGAACACAGGATGTCTTATTTATTATTTAGGTCTTCTTTACTTTCTTTCAAAGAAGTTTGTAGTTTTTAGTGTATAAAATTGTATGTCTTTTAAAAAGTTTTTTTCCTCAATGTTTTATTCTTCTTGATTCTCTTGTAAATTGAATTGTTTTCTTAATGCAAGTGTATAGAACTATAACTGATTTTGTGTGATGATCTTGTATCCCAGAAACTTGCTGAACTTGTTTATTAGTTACAATTTTTTAGGGGATGACTTAGATTTTCATTACACAAGATTATGTCTTGCATGAGTAGAGATAGTTTTACTTGTTCTTTTATAATCTGGATGCCTTTTGTTTCATTTTATTGCCTCATGATCTTGGCTAAAGCCTCCAATACAAGGTTGAATACATTTGTCTAGAATGGGCATCTGTCCCCTTTTGCTGGCTGCTCTGAAGATTTTTGTTTTATCATTGGCTTTCAACAATTGATTATACAATGTCTAGGTATGGTTTTCTTCACGTTTCTTCCACTGAATGTCTTTTGAGTTTCTTGGATATGTGGTGTTCATTACATTTGAAAAAACATTGGGCATTATTTCTTCTAACATTTTTTCTGCCTTTTCCCCTGAAGCTCCAAGTATGTGTTTGTTAGCTTACTTAATATTTTTCCAGAGTTCACTGATACTCTAGTTTGCATTTTTCAGCATTTTTTCTCTCTGTGTTTTATTCTGAAGTATTTCTACCTATGTATTTGAATTCACAGATCTTTTTTTTACAGTGCCTAATTCCATAAAGCATATTTTTTATTTTAGACACTGTGTTTCTAATCTCTAAAGCTTGACTTGCATCTTAATTACATCTTTCATTTCTCTTCTCATCATAGTCGTATTTTCCTCTACCTTCTTTACATGGAGTAAGTTTATAATAGCTCTTTTAACATTTTCGTCTGCTGATTCTGTCATCTGTGTCATTGCTAGGTATCTTCCTACTTGTACTGTTTTTACCCACACTACTTCTAACACTAAATGTTTTCTTTCCACACCAACAACCAGTTTGGCAACTCTCTGGATGCCAGCCGAGAGTCCTGCAATTTAGCTTAATTCTGGTACTGTTATAACCGGAGTTAACGCAGACCCCACAGGTTAAGGGCTCTGTCTCGCAAGACTTCCCCATTTCATATGTCCCAGGTTACCACCTGTCCTTCTGGCCAACTGGCTATAAATTGGGGGTTCCTAGGACCCCTTCTCAGGTATGAACATTTGCTAGAATGGATCACAGAACTCAGGAAGGCACGTTATTTACTATTTACTGGTTTACTATAAAGGATACAACTCAGGAACAGCCAAATGGAAGAGACACCTAGGGCAAGGTTTGCAATGGCGTGGAGTTTCCCTTCCATGACTTCTCCAGGTGTGCCACCTCTCCATGACCCTGATAGGTTTACCTGCCGGGAACTCTCCAAACCCTGTCATTTAGGGTTTTATGGAGGTCCTGTTACACAGGTACAATTGATGAAATCATTGACCATTGGTAAGTGAACTCAATCTCTAGCCCTTTTCCTTTCCCCGGTGGCTTAGGGGTGGGCTGCAAGTTCTAATCCTCTAATCACATGGTTGGTTCCTCTGGCAGCCAGCCCCCATCATTAAGCTATCTAGGAGCCCACTAAGAGTCACCT